TCTTCATTTTCTAATTGCACAACGAATTGCGAGTCAACACGTCGCAGACTTTCTTTTCCATTTATCTATACCGCCCACGCGTTGCAGAAAATTCAATCAACGAAGATAATACGATTATGTTTGTATTCTTAAGTTGCTGCTGTTATCTAAGTAAATGTATTTTCTTCATTTTCTAATTGCACAACGAATTGAATTATTTTAGGGTATGGAGGTTCACGGTGTTCCGGAGTACGTTATAGTAGGAGGTCGTCTTTGTGTAGACGAAGGAGAGCTGAAGGCTGTCCACGGTTTCGGAAAGTTCATCGAGACACCGAGCCATCCTAAATATGTGTACAATATGATCACAGAGAGGGAAAAGGTGGGTTTCCTCCTAATTAGAACGTAAACATTGAATCTGACTTAAGTATATTTGGTTGAAGAGATATAGCGAGGTTGTAAATCACGTCGACGTTAACACCGTTCACTACGACAGCTTTTTTTCAGCTTTTCTTTGTAACTAGCATCTACAGTAATCATTTTTGGTGATTGTTCAGAGACCACGCGGTGTAGCGAGAACCGAAGCCGAAGAAAAAAAGCACGCCGAAGAAGATGCGGCCACAGCGAAGGCCAATGAAGAGGCAAGAGCGCAGGCCGCTGAAGCGGCGAACAAAGCGCTTGACGAAAACTACTCCAAACCGATAAAAACAGAGCCAGATTGTGTGCCGACATTACCAGGTTCTGCTGTTGTTACACCGTCGTCGAAAGGTCCACGGTTAGAGGGGCAGAGAAATTTGCAGGTCTCTACTTTCTCTCTCACCGGTAGGTAACATTGGAACGAATGATCGATATTCCTGTAAGATAAGAAACCGATGTTAATTAACAGAGAATTTTGTACGTTTTCACAGAGGACGTCTCGGAAGGAAGAAGATCTTGTGTCCGCTTGTGCTATCCACCCGGTGGTTATAGTGCGGGAGGTTTTTGGTAATGTATGAAAGACAGAATCAAAGTCCGCTTTGCATATAGGGATTTTTTCTTACGGAGAAAAAGGGGGAACGAAATCCTTTTCTCGTCGCCCTTCTTTCATTCACGTGTCACAAAACTACATACACATCTACATTTTTCTTTGTCGTTTTTACGTGACAGTTTCTTTTCATATATCAGCCCAGCGCTATTCAATAAATCATTGTGAACGATAAGTTTCAAAGTTAAGCTTTCAATTGGTATGTTCTCATGGATTAAGGTCTGTTCAAAAGGAGGATGTCGCAGCCGACAACCAGTAAAGTGTACGTTCGTATTCTCATGTACCACACCATTTTTCGCTTCATTATTGCTTCATTGCCCACACTCTGTGTACCGTACGCTTTTAATTCTTTGACCTTGGATCGTTCACGCGTTTTCGAAACATTATTCACGCATTTGATTCGCAATCATTGATGAAAAAAAAAATATGCCTCTCCCATGCAATAAATGTGTTTGTTGTGTTTCTGACTGAACGAACGTTTAATTTTAAACGTCGTCTTTATATTGTTATCGACTGTTGCGAATTTTTTGTGTCTTTTTTGTTTGTATGATATACATGATATATATATTGTTTTGTTATGTATTATATACGAGTAACGAGTTTCTTTCTCGCGATCGATTCAAACGCGCATGTTCGCGTGTACGGCTTTGTACATTTGTATGTTTTTCACAGGACTCTATAATTTATCTTGTGTTCTAGAAGAGGTTTAGTAAAAAGACATTGGTGGTGCTTTCTAAATTTGCAAAAAAACAATTATTTGACATACTTACGTATACTTCATTATTCCAAGGTCAAGGTTACGTGCATATTTATTTATTGCATAAATATATATTATCCGAAGAAAAAATGCTCGCATCTGTAATACAATATTTAAGGTGATTTTACACGATACACAAAATACCCTTAGGTATTTTTCAATGTTTTATTAACGACAGTCGATCATTAATTTGATCTGCCGATCGTAACTTTGGTATCGTATCGTCTGATAATTTATATAACACCGGTGTACAGCGATCATCATCAGTTTCATCATTGACTTCGTACGATGACGTAAATATTATACATGCCCGGTGTACATATTACACGCAGAAGTTGTTCCGTTCTCATTTAATCAAGGTTTCACACTGTCACGTGCGACTCGCATCTCATGGGCATAATACTAAATACATTAGAATCGAACGTTTTAATTTTAAGAAGTCAGTACACGATCGAACAAATAATTGTTTTGTTTCTTTGTCACAGTACAGTGTTATACAAGCATAATTTTAACCGTTACACGTTTCACCGACGAGCTGTAAAACGTGTACGTCTCGTTTAATTATATATTGTTAATTATAATGAGTGTAACTATTAAAGTATCCTTAGTTTAACGATTTAAGGAACTTGGACGGTTGTTTTGCAAATGATTAAATATAATCGTGTTATAAACTATATGCGGAGTTATATTTGAATGATCGTCACACGAATTGATATACTAGCTCAATTACCATAAAAGAAAAAACGAAAAAAAAAGAACGAAAAAAAAAGGAAGTCCATAGATGTTGGAAAAAGCAAAAGGATATGAAAAATGATAGAGAAAATGTTTTCAACTTTTTTCACCGTATTTCCACAGTCGTAATTGTAATTACAAGTTTAGAAAGTTCGAGCAACAATATGTTCTCTGAATTTTTCACGATATAACGAGGAATATATTCTAAATACGAACACGGATATATTCGAAAAATCAAATATTTGGCGCCGGAGAATTTTCATTTCGATAACACCCGACTTTAGCTGTTTCTCTAGAATAAAAACGAAATTCCAACCGAGAGAAATTCTAGCTAACGTGTCATCGAATTGATAAGCTTGTAACAATGTTAAACTGAAATACGCACAAATTCATAAATAGACCAAATATAGACAAATGCGATAAAAATCATGCGAATTAGCAACACTGTGCCGGAAGGAAGATGGTTAATGTGATGCATTTGACAAGAACGCACACACTTGTTCGCTTATGATTAATCGTTAGAAGGGAAATTTCACGTGGAAGGAATATATTCACAAATTCACTTTAGCATCGTTTTATTGAATTAGTCGAGTCACATGTTACGTTAAAAAAGAAAACATCAATTTTCCTTTTTAACTCCTTGGTAACATAAATCCTACATTCCGACACTTTTAACATGCTATACAAAGATTATACGTCTTTTCCTTGAACTCCTAACATTGAAAATGTGTACCTATTGCTATTTTATTAAATCCTTGAGACGCGTACCGTTCAAACGTCCGCGGGCGTCTGCGAAAGTAAAAGTTTAACGATAATGACTTTAATGGTAATAACGTTAAGGATAAATGATATTAAACAGTAATTAATCGTCACATAATAAATATTCATTACGTAATTATCATCGTGTAAAGATGGACAAACTCGAAATTTTACGACTATATGGCTTGTCTGAGCTACTCGTAAACGACCAAAAAAAACACTTTGGTTACCAGTTGTAACAATTAGACGACCGTCACGTATTACCTCGTGATATACATTTTTTGGGGACGAGACTTTTTAGATCGCATTTAGACAATGAGAGATTTTTCGGGGTAGATTTTGTATCGAAATTTCGGAAACATTTCTAAGAGTTTCTATATGCGTGCATAAAGTCAGCAATAAGTTATTAAGGGTCACGGAAAGCAACACGTTCCATTAATTCGATATAATTTATGGTAGATGATGTATAGTTATACGTTGCAGTTAATTCACCGAAACGATTCTATTATACGCGCAGAGTATGGACCACAATATAGCGTGATTGTAAAATCGGTCAAGAGTTAAGAGCAAAGCATGTTTTCGGGTGTCGAGACAATCGAATTGACAGAAATACGAGCAGTTATAAGGACCTGAAACCTCGGACAGGATCGTACGATAAAATGTTTAAAATTTAGTTTTGCCTGTTCTCCCTCGGTGAGTTTTATAAATGATTAACGGCTATTCAGACACAAGGAAAAACTCCAAATATTCCAAATAGTAATTAACATTTGCAGATTTTCCGTTTGTAAATGAAATACCGTTAGTCATAAGTCGCCGTTCTTTCATTCTACGGAAACTCAAGACGAGAATGCACATTGTACGGCCGTAAATTAATATTTACTTTACTACCTTGCTATATCGTGGTCCGTATTATACAAAGATGTTCATTTCTCAAGATGCACTGTCATCTTCTAGTAATAATTACGTGGTTAGATATGTGTGATTATATAAGATCGCTTGGGGTCTGATTAACCGAGAAACGTTTTTACTTCGTTCGACGTTATAATATGGTTTAATGAAAAGCGTTGTCTCTGTTCGTTTTTACAAGTTTGTAGATTATTAACGTTTATTGAGTCTTAACATCGTTATCGTGCATGTTACATTCATCCAACGACTTGTTATCCTTTCTCTTTTTTGTAAAATAGTTTCACAATTACCGCACACGGCACGTGGATCATCGTATTCATCCGCCATTACAAAATGTTTGTACGGGAATTTGTTAACCGAACGATAAAATATGCGAGGGCTGTACAACAGATTTACCTTTATAAAAAAAGCTATAATTATCAATGTGTTCACGTTGCGTGACCTCGAGTCGAGTATTCGAAAGAAATGTATAGTTTATGGATATAATAAGTGATACAAGCCTAGAGTATCTATTTATGTCTGCAACAATGTATGTGATCGCTTGAAATAAAAATCTGACATCAATATTATAAAGCATGTGTTTCGACTGTTTTGTTTTTGGTTTTTCTAACGGAAAATATCACTTTGTTATCTGATATATTCTCTACAGTCGGTACTTGAAATATCTGTTCAAATCGTAGAAGAAAAAAACAAACCGGAACAATCTCTTGTTTAACGTTTGATTAATAAAAAGATAGCTAAGTACACAGTTGACATTACTTGCGTGTGATATTGCTGACAATTAACAAATTCATCACAGAAATTTTTTCAAAAGAGAACGGTAATACTGTTACTACTCAATGATAAATGTAATCTGATATTACACTCTTCTTACGTATCTAGTCGTTTACTACATACACTTCGGAGATATGTATAATTCTTATTGTAAACTTCCAACTCTTCAGGAGTATTTGGTAGTCAATACTTCATTGATCCTCGTCTCTGTGTCGAGCTCTTTGCAATATTCGTTTCAATTCCGACGTTCGGGAAGTCTTCTTCTACAAATATTACAATCGCAAAATTAAACATTCAAATTAACAACAAGCTTCACACGTTAAATACGTACCACGCTTTCATCCCGCGCTTTTGAAATTTCATCGTAGAGTCTGCCACCTTCTAGAGGGCCGTAATATTGTTCCAGATATCGTTTGGTCAAATCGAACATTTCCGAACCAGTCATGTCTCTCAACTGTTTGCACGTTCTGAAAGGGAGATCGTTTAAAATCGATCGAATTTTGCTAATTAAATTTTCATTCCTATCAGATGTTCTCTCGTACTTTTCTGAAAATCCTTTCGAACTCAACCAGCTCTGCACTTCTCTAGGAGTGGAATATTGGTCCAAAACAGCTTCACGGTTTATGCTATCGGTGTAATGCTGCTTCTTCTCGCGGAATATCATCAAAACCTGTTTCAGTTCCTCCTGCATTTTCTCCTCTTTCTTCTCCTGTTTCTGTCCTGAAAAAGAGACAACATACGGAAACATCGGAACAGCTTTTTCGCGCAAAGTTACAAACGAGTATGTTACCACTGATAGGTGGATTCACGCTTTTCAGCGTGACCGATTTGATCGACGAAATCGAAGTGACGGATGTCTGACTTTGCAGAGGAGGCAGCGGAGGTGGTAACGGCGGTGTCGACGGCGTTTTCTGCGTTATCGACGGCGCTTTCTGCGTTTCCGACACGATTTCTTCGCGTACGTTCACAGGTGGTGGATGAACTTCAACCACCTTGGTTAATTCGTTGTTCTTCGGTTTTTCATTACCATCGGCAGTCGATTTCTTCTCGTCGACGTTATTTTCAGCGACCACTGTTGCCTTGCTGCTACCGATAGATACCGTGTCTTCGTTCGACTGATCTGCAAACAACGAAACATCGATGATAAAACGTAACATAAACTTCTAACGTTAAACGAAACGTCGTACAGTTATTTAAAAAAAACGCTTAAACGAACTTACCCCAAAAAACATTCTTGGAGAACAGAATATCACTGAACACTTTCTCAATAGACAATCACATTAAAAAGCACACTTTAAGCAAACGCATACAGCAAACGACAACCAATGAAATTAGGTATTACCGAACGATACACCACACGACAAACACATCGGTTTGTTCATTTTCAAATACATATTTAAATCTTCTCCGTTAACATCTACAGGTAGGACTGATATACTTATACAGAGGGAGAGAGACGAGTACAATCTGTAACCGAGTATATTTATTAATCAAGTGATGTACATAAATTACAGTGCAACGAAATACTGGACGGATTGTAATCCCCATCCCGTGGACACAAAACGAATAAAGAGTTAAAGGAAAGAGAGAGAGAGAGAGAGATTTCGCTCGATCGAGGAGTGAGTACAAAATAGATTACGTGGTTTTTATATCGTGCGTCGTACGTTTATTATTATTAATATTATTATTATTATTATTATTATTATTATTATTGTTATTGTTAAGTATACTTTTGCAGTGAAACTTTCGAAAACCCTAAGTTTCATTTTGGAAAAAGAATGTTTATTGTTTATGAATTTATTTATTTCTATTTCTCATTTTTACTTCCATTGTTTCAAGAATATAGAAAAACCTGAATTTTACATTTTTAAGTTCTCCACAGTAATTACGCGTGTCGCCGTAATGGCGCCACTGGAGTGCAAAGGGTTAAGCATCGTTGAACAAGTTTCACCTGTACGATGATTATTCTTCGTGTTTTACTGTGTTTTCTCTTACGTCGACTAGTTTAGCGTCGTAACGTCGAATGAACACGGTTCTCCGTTATCGATTTCTGCGTAATTTATATATATATATATATGTATATATAAATAATTCCATCGTTCCAGGATAAATCGATAACGCGTACGGTTAAATTGCGCATTGTTCGTATAGACCGTTTCATATTTCAGACCGCAACGAGGAAACGATACACAATCATCGCGTACATCGATACACAGAGAGTTCGTTTCACGCTTTTCTTTCTTTTTGTTTTTTCACATTCTCCTTAATTATTACGACGCTGGAAAACTCTAAACTGGCGACGGTCGAGCTACGTTTTCTTCTTTTCTTTGTTAAATAATTGTCTAAACATGCGTGAAAATACGGGTAACAAAAATTGACGATACAAGCTGTAACGATTATTTGAGCGGTTTATTTCGAAAGTGGAGTAAGTACGTTTAACACGTTGAATGCCGTGGGGGTGATCGGTGACCGGCGGTCTCGAAATTAGTAAAAGCATTTAATTCGAATAAATGGTAGTACATATTTGTGAAATTTTCACCTAACACATCACACAGCATATTTAAATAGCTCACATATTATTTATGCATATTGCAATGTGTTGTATTAAAATAAAAAATTCTTTTCGGCACCGTGGACAAGTTACGTAGAATTGGTCCTGCATTCGACGTGTTAAAAAAACAATGGAGTTAACGATAACTAGATTGCGGATTTTCGTGCGAATTCATATTTTCGTGAATATAATTTAAAAAAAATAGAAGCTAGACAGGCAATTGTTTTATTCGCTAAATGTTATAATATGTAACTATATTTTCCATTTATTTATATATTTTGTGCTTATTGAGTGTATTTTTGTACCTTCGAAAATTTCCCATAAACGCATCAAAATCCGCAGTCTAATTACAACAGACAGAACTTAACGTACGATCTTTTTTTATCCGCAAACGATCTACGGTGAAAATGAGAAATGGACTTGCTCCACTTTGGAAATAAGCCTCGAAGAGCAGAGTAGCTCAACCTTGGCAAGCCGAAAAGCTTAGAGACGCTCGGAATAAATGAACAGGTCTCGTGTGATTCGTCAACGATATTCATGACAAAGGTGTAACAGAAAAAAAAAAGAAACAATCTTTTCATTCCCTCTTCTCATACAGGCGATTTTGATTGTCGTCGTTCCTAGAGCTCGCGACTCGACGACTCGAATCTTATCTGCGACGAGTCGTAGAAGTGAAATCGCGAAAATCCAACGATTCTTCTTCTTCTTCTTCTTCTTCTTCTTCTTCTTCTTCTTCTTCTTCTTCTTCTTCCTCTTCTTCTTCTTAACGATTCTTCTTCTTCTTCTTCTTCTTCTTCTTCTTCTTCTTCTTCTTCTTCCTCTTCTTCTTCCTCGACGTATGTTACTTATTTCCCATCGCGCGTATTTGTACAAGCTTTATATTTCACACTGATGCGTACAGAACATGCGACGACACACGTACAAGCATCGAGAGAAAGATTTGTGCCGTTTGATTAAAGCCATTGATAAAGAGGGAAGAAACGGAGAAAGATGAGTCACGAAAGGCAGCGTTTGTGCACTTTTGTCAACGATTCGACGTGAGAAATCGAGGGCAACGGAGATTTTATTAATACTTTAAGCGCCGGGCCCGCTTCAATGCGTTTTTACACGTTTGTGTAGAAAAAAATATTGTATCTTTTGAACAGCAAGTGGCTGAATATTTGTATTGCTAAAAATGGTCGCTGTGACTGTAATAAGCACTATGTAAAATTTTTCAATAGAAATTTTCTGTTTTACAAGAGTTATTTTATTTTATTTTACAAAACTCGTAAATATGGCGGCGCTTTAAGTAAAGTTCCCAACAAAATGGCCGGCGCTTTAAGCGTTAACTCTTTGCGGTCGTATTTTCCGTAGGCACGGTAGTCTTATTAATCGGAATTATTTTTTGGTAGAACGAGCTCAGTCGATTGTTGCCTAAAAAACGTATAAATTTTATTCGAACGAGTTTGTTTAACCCTTCTTACTGCCAGGGCCGATTTGATATGCACGTTTCGATAAATTGCTTCATAAAGAAGAAAATGTGAATCTTCCGGAGGAAAATTTTAGTATTTATTCTTTTTCGAACTCAGACGATACGAAATACAATTGTAGCGTAATAAAATATTTAACAATAAATAACGTAAACTTTTATATTTAAATTATACAAATTATGGAAAATTATTTTCTATGGTAACATCCTCTTACGGTAAGTTACCGACATTGTTTTTCGAACTAAAAGCAAATTTTTCATCCGAATAAACGAAACAATTTAATTAAATTTTTTATCTAAACGATAATCTGGCAGCCAAAGGGTTAAGCTACGTGCGTATTATTTTTTTCCCCGTTTCTGCAGGCAAAAGACGTCCACACAGAGTTTGGAAGGATAAAAGCGCTTTGCAGGAGAATATCCCGGAGTTCGACCGCAAAAAGTCGAGCTTCTGAAATTCCGAGAGGATACAATTTTATCAAAGGCTTTAATGCGATCGGCGATTAAGCTTTTCCTCGTAGCGAAGCCGAAGAAAAACGACGATGAATAATGGACGGACACAATATGGACTTCACCACTTCTTCTGATCTATCAGCGGAAACGCACAAAAACATTGCCAGTGTTCGTTGTTTCAAGAAGCTCAACCAACCCCTCCTGACTCGACGCCTTTTTCATTAACGTTACAATAATCTTTAATATAAAACTATACATATCGTTCTCTGTTCTGTTAAGTATGTATACATGTATGTGCGTATATACAGGGTACTGTACATACGTATACATATATTTATACTAAGATTTGGTTAGTCGATAAATATAAAAAATATGGTATCGTCCCTACATTCGCTATCTCTTTCTATCATATACGTCAGTTGATTATATGCTTTAAATAAACGTGAGAAATAAAAGAGGAGAATTGTTCGAAAATTGTCGTTGATCGGGAGAATTCGAGAGAAATTTTGCTCGTTGCGTTATGGACAAGAAGAACACACGATTGTAACACGTGTTTCTTCACCTTGGACGAAATCCTATTTTCGATTGCAAAACTTCTATCTGATAAAGCGATCGTCTTATCGTTAGTTTCTTTTAAGAGGTGCGTAGAGCAACGAAAAAAAAAAGTAAAGAGGAGAACTGAACGAATATAAGTGATTCACCGCGACAAAATTTTCATTGTATCTATCGTCTGGTTACAGTGTTACATGCTTCTCCAAGTTCTTCGCGGTATCCTCGAATTACCAGTCGTGCAACGAGAGAAAAAGATACTTCGGATAGAAGTGGAAGAACTTGGAAAATTCTTACAGACGAGTACAAATAACAAATGTAATCCCTTCGATTATTACCTTGTCTCCGTTGCGATAACGAATTGTTCCGCGATTCAACCTAGATTATTTACTCGTAATATACCTCTTCGTGTAGTATTTATATAATATATATACAGGTGGAAAAAGAAGAAACACGGTACTGACGTTAAGAGAAAAGAAAAGAAAAACAAAGAATGAAATTCATAGCGAAGTGCTGACGAGAAAAAAAAAAGAAATAAGAAAACGGCTTGTAACAGCAACGTTCAGATACACAAGATAAAACGCGAATGGCGCGAATGTATTCGTTGAATTATTGATCATATTCAACACGTGTAGCATGCTTTATCCCGAGATGGAAACTATCGTGGAATAAAACGTTGGATAGCGTCAACGACAAGAACCGTAGCCGTGGAAAAAGCCTCAAGCATACTTCTTAAACTCTCCGTCTACTTGGGCGGTCTTAAAAAGACTGTTTAAACATTGAACACCGCGCGAAAGTTATTTCCCTATTTACCGATTCGATTCCTCTCAGATCTCTCAAGCAATGGACAAAACTACACGACTTTGAGGTCACACTGGATAGCTTAAAAGTACCGGAATTCACCTTTTTTCCCGAGTCTCTCTTTTCTCACCCAATCTGCCGGCGCTGGCGGTGGAATCGCATGAGTTCGATGAGTTGCCTCTGGTCCTGGACTAGTACTGGTCCTCTCAATTTCTGAATCCTAAAATTAACACAAGATTTTCAATGTAAATGTGCATCTTTACAGCTTGCAACAGAGACAGTTTGTTTTTTTTTTTTTAATTAGAAGGAATTGGTAACACATAAATGATTAAAATCGAGCGACACAGTTTCGCAACGCTAACTACTCTTTTTCTTGAACGACTGTTCTTTTTTTTTCTTTCTACAACCATAACCGTGTGTACAGTGCTCCCTGGAACAACGCGGGAGTTTAGCGACGTCGAGTGTTCGCGTAGATGGAGATCAGGCGTTTTTGGGAAATCCCCGTCTTGCATTAATTTCGGGCCACTTTTGGAACGGTATAGCTTTTCTGAAATTGAACCAAATTATTTGAGTTTTTCTGCGAAATTAGAAGCATTAGTTTAGTAGATGAAAAAATGTTGAGAAAATTGCAATTTGTAAAATTGTGAAGGTCACTTGGTTTACAACTTTCCTCGGGATTCCCACAAATTGCAATTTTTTCTACACGTCATCTACGAGGGTGGATTGAAAAATTCGCGACCTAAGTAGGAAGAACTGCTGCTAGGTGCTTGCAATTTTTACAGTGTAATCTGTGATCATTTGTGTAGCGACGTACGAAGTTTCGTGGCTCTGTCAATTTTTTGTTCTCTTTTACGGAGAAGAGACGAATAGAAGTGAGGAATGATCCAGTACCTGGTGACAAAGGACACCACCGCAAGGATCTTGAATGATTTTCGCAAGAATAATTTTTGCAAGGTCCTTGAATGATCTTTGAAGTGAGGTCCTTTATCTTCAGGTATTGGATCGCTGTTCGTTTTCTAATTTTGTCCATTTCTACTCCATCTACTGCAAATACCTCTACTTCACTAGCTCCAAAAGGGAGAAAAATGACGATAGAGACACGAAACTATATACATTAGTACACAATTGATTACATATTATTCGGTAAAAGTTACAAGCACTTAGCTGCAATCCTTCATACTTAGGCCGTGAACTTTCCAATCGACCCTAGTAGTAAACTAATCCTTCTAACTTCTCAAAAAAACTCAAGTCGTTTGGTCCAATGTTGACAAAGTTACACTGTTCTAAAAGTGGCCGGAAATTGATAACCGCAACTGTATCTACACACACAAACGCACGATTTCTCTCCCAAATTCGGCTGTTCGTTATCTACTTCAATTCGGTGCCACTGCTTCTCGCATGCCTCTCTCGTTACAATTACACACAACTAAACTTATCAGAATTACACAAGAAATTACAAACGCATGGTAAATCGATGCCAAGATACAAGAAAAATAAAAAAAAAACTGGCGTATAAAGTGAAACCGCGTTGTTCGATAGGGAGCGCTGGTAATTGATTTTCATTAAGGGTGTAGAAGCCACTATTGACTCTCACCTCGTAATTATAGCCGTACCCCTGCCGCGGATATCGGCTTGTGTAAAGAGGATTGTTAAAGACATCGTTGTCGTTAGAGTGGGAAGGGTTGTGGGGCGTGACAATGGTGTGCGGCACGTGTGCGACCTGCCCTCTTGAATTCCTCGCCTTCCACCACTTTCTGCTATCGTCGAGAATCTCCAGGTATTCCCCTCTCACCACCGTCAGCTCTTTGTCGTTGTTCGCCGTTCGCGGATAAGTGACTTGCACGATCTTCGCGTGTCTAGCTACCAGATCGTCCAACCAAGCTTCCTGTGCTCTCTCCATACCGGCGGCTCTCGATGTTCTCTCGATCGAGTCCACCGATATATCGCTGTGCGCTCTCGTCTGATCTACCACTCTCTCCTCCCTACCGTATAACTCCGAGCCTGGTCCGTAATTTCTCTCGAAGTACTCGTTACCAGCTCGTTCCTCTCTGCTCTCGTATTCCAAATAATCGCTGCTGTAATGCGACTCGTCCACCTCTCGATGATTGTAATAAGGATCGTTTTGTTGCTCCGGCAGCTCGTCCCTCTTCTGTTTGTCGGCGTTCAACAACGAAGCCAGGTGATCGTGATCCCTGTCTTCCGGTATTTGGTACTCCGGTGACCAACCGTCCATGAAGATCGGATGATACGGTGGCACGTGACTTTTCCATTGGTCCCGTGGTATCAACCACGTGTCGCCTAAAGAATGCCACAGTTCTGTCTCTTTACTGGTGACACAATTGATCAGCAAATTAACCGCTTCCCTGGTCAACAACGGCGAGGCTACTTTGCTCGGTAGATTCGGATCGTAATTGGTATCGTGAGACGCGTCCACGATCAACGCCAACGGTGTGAAGAGGAAATGTACCAATTCCGGTGCATTCGGATCGTGTATGTGAGCTTTCAGCTTGGCGAGCAAGTTGAACGATAGCTTGAACTTCTGAAAGATGTCGACGAATTCCATTTCCGGCGGTGGTTTCGCTCTCATTGTCAGCATCCCGTCGCCGAGGTTCCTCTTCTTCGACTTCCGGTTGCGCCTTCGACGCTCGAGCTCTTTGGTGGCCGCTGCCGCGTGCTGGAGACGCGCGATAAATTTCTCGATGTCGTCGAAACAATGGTTCAAGATCGTCACGTCGCGTTCGTATTTCTCCGAGGACGTCGAGGACACCTCGTCGTTGTTCTCCTCGCGAGATATATCGTTTTGACCGTCGGCTGGTGTTTTCGGGGGGAGAGAACAAGAAGAAGAAGAGACGCATTAAATTACTCCACTTGTGTACACTTCATGAAATATTCAGAAACGGAGAAACAGGTAAACGGTTGGACAACAGGCGGTGTAGAGAGGAGGGAGCAGGAAGGGTAGGAGGAACGATAAAGAGAGACGAGACGAGACGAAAGAAAGAAAGAAAGAAAGAAAGAAACACACAGAAGAAGAAAAAAAAAGGAAGAACGTACCGTTGTTAGCGTTAAAGGCAGACACTTGTTCACGGACGTTCACACCGTTCAAGGGTGGTTCCGGCGGTGGTAAAGTTGGAGGAGGTGGTATAGGACCTCCTGGACCTCTCGGTGAACCACCCGGTACAAGTTTACCCATTTGTAGCATTTTCAGATCCTCGACGAGATCCTGGGCCGAGACACTTTGACACTGGAATATATGCATTTCTGCTCGTTGACCGGAACCACTGTCATCCGCCACTGTGAAGACGAGAATGTTGTTATACATCTCCATAGGGTCCCTCGACGTGAACGCGGTCGGTTCCTGTATCAACGAGGCTGGGAATCGCTCCATGACGGCCTGCATACGAATTTATCAACGATGCATTAAGTGAAATTCCGCCACGGTACTATGTACGTTAAAGTGTAATTTCACAAATGTTCCACTTCGTATTTCATTCGCTCGCTTACGGTCTTTTAACGGTTTACTATACCAATCTATACAAAACGCGTATCTTTCTTTCTCTCTTTTCTTTTCTTTTTCATTTCACGCACACTTGAAAAACGAGCGGAGCAATATCTCTGTACAGTAGTTAATTAGATATCCCGGAAGGATTGCCTTTACCCCCGTCTCGTTGTCCATGATCAGCACCCAGTTCCGTTCCAGACGGAGCTGCATCTTTTGACTCCAGATGCCGTTACTCTTCTCCAGCTGCAAAAGTCGCCGCATACCGTCCGCTGGATAAACAATACCGGTTTCCTTCGTGACCGTGAACGTGGCCAAATGCTCCATCATGTAAGTCGGCTCTGAACTGCTCACGCGGCCGCCCGATGTGCTCGATGGACCACTCGACCCTCCATCTGATACAACGTTGTTCACTTTCTTTTATCGATCTTTTCTGTTTTCTCTCTTCCTCGCATTTTATCAACGTTTAGTATTTTACAATGGAACGTTTCTTTTCGATCGGAGTACAGGTAAGAAAATGCTCGGGGAACAAAGGGATAGCAATTGACACGTTCACTCTACGCGTCGTCCAAATTGTCGAAAGAAAAGGGGTGAATTATTTTGTCTTTTCTTAGGGTAGGGCAAAGTTGCCTAATACGAGACCCATTTCTTAAAGAAGTCGCAACTGTCGACTAAGAACACTTTTATTAAAATTCGATACATGTTTTAAGAGTATATGTATTCTTTCGTAAGGTACTGGAATGTACAGTAAAGAAAATTCGGTTCCTTCGTAATAAAATAAAAAGGAAAATTATGCAAATGCACAGATTTAAAAAATGGGTTTCTAATATGAGAAAACTATTTTTTCTGTCCTTTTTCACACATTGGGCCATATTAAATCTGTTTCTTCAGCACCGCAGACTTGGTGGGCTCACCGGTAACACTTTGTGCACTAAAAGAAAATTGGGTACCTAATATGAGACTCTTCTTATAACAGGAACTTCCGAGTAGCTTCGAGATTAAGTCTTCGTTATTTAACGATACGCAACTAGTAAGCCTTAAACTCCATTGCATGCACTGTACAACAGTATTTATGAAAATGATTGTGAACTTACTATTTTCGAGGTATTTGTAATTTAATCGAACCACTTGAAAAACTTTCTGCGACGTATTGCACAAATATGCTTGTTGAAGACGCTTCATTGATTTCAATCAAATTTCATATTTAATTTGGCAATTAACGCGGTTAATTACGAAACGAAACAGCATCGCTACGACATTCGAGAGTTCTGTAACGGAGATATGCTGGGGTCTCATATTAGGCACGGTCTCATATTAGGCTACTGTACCCTATACTGTTTACGTTTAACCCTTATGTCAATAACTAGATTTTTGCACGTTTTGTCACCTGAAATAAATGATCTTCGCGGTGAATGATTTGAGTTTCCGGTCAGATCGTTACTTCGGTGTTGTAAAAAAAATCTTCTCAAAAAAACTCAAGTCGTTTGGCCCAATTTTAAAGAAGTTATTCCGTTTTATAGGGTGGCTAAATACTTATGCACGGTAGTGTATACAGGGTGTCTCGTAAAGAGTGTAACACCTGGGAATGGGGGGTTGCTGGGGTGACTCTGAACAACTTTTTCCTTGACCAAAATGTTGTTTGAAGCTTCGTTTTTGAATTATTAACGAAAAACACTGGCCAATCAGAGCGCGCGTAGAGCCCGCGCTCAGGAACGGAGAACAAGGCTAATTCGCGCGCGATTCCGACTAATTGAAATTTTCCAGCAATACCTCATTTCCAGGTGTTACACTCTTTACGGGACACCCTGTATACAGGGTGGATCATATGAAACAGGTCATCTAATTATCTTCTCTATTTGGCTATGGTGGCACGAGAAAATTTAAAAGGTTTCAAAGGGCGAATAGAGTGGAAGAAATGGCAAAAAATGAGAGGAAGTTTTACATTAGAGTTCAAGATCGTATTATTACGCACATTTAACCAATTCCGGCACACTGACACATACACTACCGGCCAAAAGTTTGGAATCACTGAGCATTGCAATTTACACAAAAGTTTCCAGAAAAAATTCAGCGACTTTGAGAATTTTTTATCGTTCGAATCAATCGATACGAGATAAATTGGTAAAAACAGAATTGAGATAAACTTCAAATCTATAAAAAATTAGCAACAGATTTAATATTGATGAAAAGTGGGAGATGATTCCAAACTTTTGGCCGGTAGTGTACGTGTACGTTTAGTTTTTCCAAAAATTCCAATATTTTTGATAGAGAAAATATGAAAAACGTAATCTGTCAGCAAGGAAAGCAGTTCAATTGCTACCGATTTAACACGAATATAAATGTAACTATAAAAAATTAATCACTTTTCTCTAAATTAAAAAAAATCCTCCTTGAAGAATACACATCAATTCCTACTACACCGTACAATAAACAAAAATACGTACACACGTGTGAAAAAAACATAGCTGACCTTGAAAAAAAAAAAAGAAATTGGAATTTATAGAAAAATGTACCATTCTAAAACTACCGACCGGGTCAGAATGACCCATTAGCATCTTTCGAAAAAACGTGAATGTTCTATACTGGTAAGTATTATCGCTCGCAACTTTCCGAATTTATATTCTACATGTATGCTCCCATTTGTATCGGTATGAATCGAATTTTCCAATCACGGTTTACTTATATAAAAATTCACTTTTGGAAAGTCGCCAATGGGTCATTTTGACCCGGTCGGTAGTTTTAGTGTTAAATTACGAATAAAAATATTCTCACACCACCGATAGCTAGAGAGTATAAATTAAGTGGCCCTGCTTTACATAGTCCACCCTGTATATACATCTACACGAACGAGCTGAAACTGTCCTGAGTCATATATGGTTGAGTGAGCACGTTAAGCCTTGCAAGGTAGCTCATTTGTTAAAACTGTTGCTCACCTTTGTTACTTCTAACGAGAAAGAAATACGTTGCGTTATAATTACCTTTATTATAGGTGGAAGGACTGTGCCCACTGTTATAGTACGGCATGGTGGCCAGATTACCGTTTCACCTTTTATCTGCAACACACAATCGACGTGCGAACTTGAGGAAACTTGTCTCGGTTGATTCAACTCCATGTACATACACCACCGGCCAAATGTTCGGAATCACTGTGCACTGTAAGTAACACGAAAATTTCCAGAAGGAAGTTCGCAATTGTAAGAATCTCTTAACGAACTTTTTATCGTTCAAATCAATCGAAATGAGGTAAAATGCTATTGATCTCCACAACATCAATTTCAAATCTGTGAAAGAGTTAGTAGCAGATTCAATATCGATGTAAATCGGCAGGTGATTCCAAACTTCTAGCCGGCAGCGTATATTATACGTTTTCACTAAACGATCCGTTTCTTTTCTTCTTGTTTCTTCTTCAAAGTAGATACACTATAGCGACAGAATACATGAAAATCTATTTTTCCACTGAACTGATCAATTTCTTTTCCTTTAACCCTTTCGCTACGAAGGGCGTACGTATACGCTCCGTAGAAGCGGTCACTCGTTTACGAAGAGCGTACACATACGCCCGTCTGATACGCAGAATTTCTTCATTTATTTCCGTACGTAAAATATCGCATTAAATTTTCTGTAAATACGAAATTATTAGAATAATATTTTCTATAAATACAAAATTATTTTCACAAAATTGTGTAAATCGTATAATTATTCGCATAAAATTCATTTTCACAAATAAAATACCGCTGTCGACAGAAAATCAAGCGACACCGGAGAATGCACCAGACACTCAACTATCACGAAACAGTTGATCTTCAATCCTTAAATACGTTATTGTTACACCAGCGTTGAATAATAACTGTTTCCTCCGGTACACAAGTCGAACACTGTCTCGAGCGTACCGTAACGGAAGGGTTAAAAGTAGACACGGTATACTTATAAGATAGACGAATATCTATTTTTTACACCGTACGATCCAATATCTTTCTTGTTTCTTCTTTTAAAGTAGACACGCTGCAGTTATAGGAGAGGCGACGAATGTAAGAAAGGTGGTTCGTCGAGCGTGCGGTTTAATAACTTAATGACGGAGACGACGACGACGACGGGGCGATAGTTGCACGTCGCGTATCGTATCCGGCTACCGGGTCACGGGGACCATACTTGGCGGCACGAAAGCCAGCTTGTAACCAAAGTGAAATTCCAATGAGCCTAATTCGCTCGCCAGACATGTCGAGAATTCCTTTCGCGTGCCTTCTACTTATCGAACTTCAGCGTCCGAAGGTGAGATCCCGTGGACACAATGGGCTAATAAATATTGTTCATCGGCGAACGGTTTTGCTGAAACGCGGGTCGTGTGGCGCCAGGAGAAGGATTATACGCGACGAAAATAAGCGTGAGCGTTGAAGAATTCGGGGGGATCCGGCGAGCGTAATGAGATGTGTGAGAAAAATTCATCTTCTTCGATACATTTCGAGGGAATTTTGTTATTTTTCTTTCTCGTTATTGCAAGGTTTTTGCAATATTTACACCGGACTATGCGGTGAAACTAGACCGTCGAAGAATTCAGAGATTGAGCAAACGTTATGAGATGCGTGAGAAATATTGATAAAGAGAAATTTCGTTATTTCTTTTTCTTTATCAAGATTTTTGCAATATTACACGGATTATACGAGGAAAATGAACCGTCGAAGAATTCAGAGATTGAGCAAACACAACGAGGTACATATGAAAAATTGATTCAGAGAAATTTCATTATTGTTTTTGCCTTAACGGGGTATTCCCAATATTATACGGATTATGCTGTAAAAATACACCGTCGAAGAATTCAGAGATTGAGATATATCTCCTTCGATATATTTCAGAGAAATTTCATTATTTTTCTATATTTTCTTGCCGCAAGGTTTTTCACCTTTCGTTCATCTCGACTCGCTACAAATTTCGCGTAAATAAGAAAACTGCTCCTTCGATACGTTCGAAAGAAAATTTCGTTATTTTTTCAAGATTTTTCCAATATTACAAGGATTGTACTGTAAAAATACACCGTCGAAGAATTCGGAGACTGCGTATTTCAACGCAATGAAATATATGAAAAAAATTGATTCACAGAAATTTCATTATTTCTTCATTATTAAAGTTTTTGCAATATTACACAGATTATACGAGGAAAACAAACCGTCGAAGAATTCAGAGACTGAGCAAACCCAGTGAAACAATAAAAATTGATATCTTTCGATATATTTCAGAGAAATTTCATTATCTGTTTTTCCTTATCGCAAGATTCTCATTTCCCTTTCATTAAAGGGGGTCTTCTAGTGTGACGGTTTCAAAAAATCGATTTCTTCTTTTTCGCATATACCGGAAGTACAACTCCTTAAAATTGTGTTCCTAAAATTTTACAGTTGTATTCGATAAAATAACGAAGTTATAGCTCGTTTAGTGTGACATCTAAGGCCGGCGATAGGGAGAATGGAGTTTCGCAACAGTAAACCGCGTAGTAATCGGTACATATGTGTGCGGTACAAAAGTGTATATACAATAATAATAATAATAGTTTATTAACGCAAGTAAAGAAATAAAATAAAAATCAAATGTCGACGTTAATTATAATCCATCCTCTGCTTTTTTGGCAGTAATTATATTTGATAATGGATTTTTGTCCAACGGAGGTAACAATTGGTGAAGAAATTGAAACGTACGTGAACTATTGTAACAAAATTCGTATCAATCTCTCGGCACAACGCATGACTTCACTAAAAAACCTAGAACTGATCGGTAAGAAGAAAACACCGCTGAACATTTGTTCCAAGGAGAGGAAGGTCCCCTCTATGGTCCTGGACTAGCAGGATTTGTAACAAGATTTATAAAGTTATTCCTATGTAAATTGCACTGAAAACTTTAAACGCGTTCTTCTCGAAACCATGTTTTCTGAAATTGTTGCCACGATCTGGCAAAAACTACTGAACCAATCGAATTCAAATCTTCAGAACATGTGTGACTATGGTCGGTAGTAGACTTATGCTGAAATATATATTTTTCTGATTTGTAGAGCCTCTGAAAGACGAAAAAATCGATACTTCATATTCAAAGTGTCGCCATTTTTTAAATTTTCAATAGTTTTCTTTTATTCTACTACCGACCATAGCGACATGCGTACTAAATAAGAATCAATTGGATTTTTTTCATTCAGATAAGCAGAACGGCTCGAATCATGGCAACCATCAACGTACTTCTTTTGTTCATACCCGAGTTTGACGTGTTCCACAGCAGCCATATTTAACTATTTTTCAACAAAAAAATTTGTAATCATTCTTCAAGGACAAGTAAGTACGTAGGAATGAAGCTCGTGTTAATAGCTGTTACTGAACTTCTGTAATAAATTAGCAAAAACGGCCTAAAGAAACGGCCGTCACACTAGAAGACCCCCTTGAAGAATCTCCACGTATTACCATTTTTCCGTACCTTTTCTTGATTAACTTTTACGAAACGTTCCCCAGCTTCGGTAGAGCATGTATGAATGAGTTTCGTAGTCATTCAAGTTTCTAGCTCTACTTGTATTCCTCGACACACGTTCTGAACTTTCTGCTACCAGTCTATTAGATCGCCAGCTACCAATTTTTTCTAGACACGCTTAGACAAATAGTATCTGAAGCTGCGTATGTACACTGCAGCTCGTAAGTACTTGTCCATCTACTTTTATTTTCTGCTCAAAGATTTTCTTTTGATCAATGCTACATAGATCTGCCAGTGTAGCTTTGTTAAATGAACGTGTGACATAGGAAACACACTCAACAACTTTATATTTTTTATTAACACTAGAACTACCGGCCGGGTCAAAATGACCCATTAGCAACTTTCCAAAACCAGTGAATGTTCGATACACAGCAAGCATTACCATTTGTAACTTTTCGACTTTGTTTTCTGCATGTATGCCTCCATTTGTACCGATCTAATCTAATTCTTCGTTCACATTTTAGTTGCATAAAAATTCACTTTTGGAAAGTCGCTAATAGGTCTCATTTTGACCCGGTTGGTAGTTCTAGTGTTAAGTGATTAGGTTCGATCCTCTTCAGTTTTCGAATGCCGCCTTCAACGTTCAGTCGACGTATTAACCAGTTCGTTGAAGTGATTTCGCAATCTGTTTCCAAACGCGTGATAAATTTTTCAAGAGAATTGCATCAAGATAATTCTTAATATTTATATAGATATAAATATTAATGCAGCGTTAATATTAAACGTTTATATTTAGAACGATATTTTCCAAAAATGAAGGCTCCAAAATGAACGAAATCCTCGAAACTTCCTTCTCGAGAACTGGTTAAACAACTAGCTGCTACATCGAAGTAAAGAGCATCGCGAAGAAACGAGTGGGAAAATTACTAATGAACGCCACACGGTGGTACCTTCACTCGGCGATCTTTCTTCCATATCTTTGCTGCTCGATTTTTTTTTTTTTTCTTCCCACTAAAATTCACCGACGAAGAAAGGAGGAAAAGGAAAAGACACGTATCCCCTTCTCCCAAACGAGTATAATATACAAAATCGTACGTTCTCCTCGCGGCTCCGGGCAAAGAGAGAAACTATGAAAACGGCTAGATCTTTGCATAGTTATGTGCGTGGAATGTGAAATTCTGAATTTGCTCCAAGAGAAACTTATTTGATTCGACGCCTCGTTACACGAGAGTGTGAACGTCTCGTATCTATACGGGCGAGAACGGAGATAGTACCCTCTAACCTAACCGGGTGTTGAATAAAAAGCTCACGGGCTTAGCGATGCGGGCTTATTCTCATTTTCATAAATATCGTCAATTTATGTCGCCATATGGAAAGAATTCGCCGACTGTTTTCGGTAAAAGCGAAGTTTCGTTTGAAAAGAAGGAAAACGGATCGTTCGTCGAGATAATCTCCATTATTGTCCAATAATAATTTTTATTATTCCGTTATTTCCATTATTATTAGTATTATTATTATTATTGGACAGTTTCCATTATTTCCATCATCGTCATTATTATTATTGGATAATTTCCATTATTAGCGACCTATTGCCATTTTTCTGGCAGCTTTGGGA